TATTACCATGTCCTGATCAAAAATGGTACAACTATGAAAATTTGGTTCCGAAATATAGTATTTAGCACCATACCTTTCTAACCATTTCGTTACCCAGTTTAATAGCTTTTATATTTACGAACATTCTCCAGTTTCTTACCAAATATAGTATTATTCATCAGTTTTGTAATTTCTTTTTATATCTGGTTTATTTTTTTTGCAATGTGCTGTGTTTAAATCAATGTAAGATTTTTAAACCAACAAGACTATTTAAGTTTCAATACTTATGAATTCTCTCCGACACTTCTATGCCCGGTAAACGAATTTCCGGGGAGTGAACAGTGGCACTCAAAAGTTTTTCAACATTTTCCGGAAAATGTCAAGAAAAATATAAAATTTTCAACATTTTTTTTTCGCAAAAAAAACCTCATAGGCGTGTTTCTGGGGTTGAACTATACTACCAGTTAAAATATCTGCACTCATTTCTGGGACACCCTGTATAGAGTTGTGACTAATTTAGGAATCTTTGAGCCAGCAGGTATTCTCCTTTCCGGACATAATGGCAAATCTTTGTAATAATCAAAAATTTCTTGAGGATAAGTAAGATCAACTTCAAATATATAAGCAATGTCATTATTTTCAGGAATATCTATTATATTTGATAACTCATATAAATCTTGAACCCATTCAAAATGTGATTCGAGTAGAGGCATAGACATATCTGCTCCATATAAATTATTAACGTCATAATACATAAGATATGACGAAGGTCCATTGTTATCAAATTGGCTTTCCATAATATATTTATTATTCGCTATTGCATATTGATTAGAACATTGTGAAAGACCTCCTCGTATGCCTTGTTCAATATACATAATCACATCAATGTCAGTTAATAATTCTAGCTTCATATTATTAATTTTCAGCATAGACTGAAAAGCTAACCAGGAGCGGTAAAAAAAATAAGAGCACATAATCCATAGGTCTCCATACATGTAATTCTAAAATTTTAAAAATATCAGCAAGTAACAGAACATCGATATTTGAATATAATTCTATTCTTGTAGATTTTTAATGCTAAACGTGTTCCACACTAGTTTTGCATGCCGACAATCCTCTTTGGAAATATTTGTTTTATTAAGAGAACTATAAAAATGACCTATTGTAGGGAATTCAGTGTCTTCATCTGAAAACAATAATTGAAACTCTGCATGCTTTGGATAATATGTTCAAATAATTTCTGTTTGGTCATCTACTAGAAAAGGTGTTTATTTATCGAGACTACTAGCCATAAAACGAAACAAATCTAAAAATTTAAAATTAACTTTTGTGTTGTAAATGTATTTTGTAAAGGCCATGTAGTGTTCTTTGTTTAATGGCAAAAGACTCATGTTTTCCTTTATCTAAAGCCCTTATTAGAAAGCCCTTATCTTATATCTTTATATTAGAATAGCTAAAGCCCTTATCAGGAAGTGGCTATCATAGCCTGAGAGATTATGAAAGATAACAGGTACTGTATTAGAATCTTGAGAATTAATATTGCAGTGAGAATAAACAAAACCTCGAAAATCACCCGTAAAATGTAAATGATCTTTAACAATTGCATTATTTTTATTAAACGGTTTCAAGCAAATGTGACACTGTTTACAGCTTTGAATATATTGGTATTCTGCTTCTGTAAGAGGTTTCATTGGAATAATGTTACTAAGAATACGCACATATATTGTTATATTATTTAGTTCATTATTAAACTAATTTATGCAATGTAATACCAGCGTACAGGTTAAAAGGTGAAAGTTCATTATTATATGAACATTTTAAATAGTATGTAATGCTAAATGGTTCATGTTTTTGACACTTTTTCGATTTTATATTAAAACTATTTTCATTTTTCACATCGAAAAGAATACATTTCAAGTCAGCATAAATAACAAAAGGAACACTTTTCTTATACTTAAACTTTAAAAATTTTAATTTTTTTTTCATTGGGTTGTAATGTAATTTTTTCATTGGGTTGTAATTTTTTTTTCATTGGGTTTTAATAACTTCCAAAAATGTTTTGTGATTTAAATGAATTTAAACAGCGTTCACATAACCATGATTTATTCTTTTGATCACGTAACTGTTTATGAAGTAATCGAGATAAATTTTTAATAAGGACAAAATTATGTTTTTTGTTTAAAACATTCAATTTCATTTTCACCATCATCACTACTACTCACATCTCAATATCAGAGTGGTTTGGTAATAGTAGTAAATTTATTTTAATATTTTAATAGAAAAGTAATTTTTACTTAAAGCTAAAGGAAAAATTTCGTTTTTTATGGCTGAAAACGTTTATAGAAATTTTATTACATTTTCCAAATTTTGGAATATCCTTTAAATGCATAGGAAATTAAAACCTTTCATAGCTTAATTTTCTTTTATCTTTCCTATAGGCTATTTCACTAAAATGAGGATAGGATGAAACACGATTAGAATTAATCGAAACAGAATTTAAATATGCAACTACTGACCAAAGAAAACAATATTCATCATTATTTTTTATGTTTATTGCAGCTTTCGTTTTGTCTATAAATTTAGGTGTATTAACAAATGTAGAAACACCTGCAGTAATAGGTACAAATTTATTTATATTTACTTTAAGTTGAAGAATTTCACTATCACTATCTCGTTCTTGAAATTCTGATAATTTTGTTAAAATATAATTTCTAATATATTCCTTATAACACTTTTTTAAATTTGTAAAATTATCGATTATTTGATTTTTACTTCTATTGTATATTATAAGCTTTACTTCTATTTCAGAGTTAGTAGGTTTTATAAAATTGGCTAAAAAGTTAACATTAACTTTAATCATTGAAGTCTTCAGAGCTTGTCTAATTTTAATTAAAAAACTTCTTAATGCCTCTTTTAAAAATATGTCTGGATCTTTTATGCCTAAGTTTATTATGGAGCCTGTTCGAATCCGCCCAGCAACAATGGAAACACTCCTACAACAATAGAAAACATCGAACAATTGGAATGAATCCCGTAGAAGTAAAAAAAAACATGAAAGAATTCTCTTTAAAACTGTATTCAATAGGATAAAAACTACTACTACGCATATCCAAATTTCGAGGAGCATTTGATAAACAGTATAAACCTAATTGGTCTACTGAAAAATTTACTATTTGTAATATATCACATTAAATTATTAAGAATATAATAGTTAACCATAGGCAACTTTTATTACTTGCTTCTTCATGGATTTAAATTTAAACAATACTATTTAAGGCAAGCGCAATAACGTTAGCTGTTTTGCACGCAGCTGGAAGTCACTCTCTTCCATCTCCAACCATCAAAGTATTAACAGTATTTTCCTATCGATCTGATTCATCAATCTAACATTTATTAGTAAAATAAAATAAGTTTAAATAAATTCGTGTATCCTTTCTCAACCATATCAAAAGACATTACAACTTGGCGACGAGGTAAAACGGTACGCGAGCAGATTAAATATCCTTTATTTTTTGTTGAGAAATATCGGTCGGAATTTCGCGCACGTTGTGGACCGTCGACATGCCTGGGGATTCATCATCAAATACTCAAACGCCTGCAGCAGGAACAGCAATCGGAAAGTTGCGAAAATTTTCTGCTAAAGATTCGGACTGGTCGATTTTCAGCGCCAGGCTAGAGCAGTATTTTATTGCAAACAGCATTACAGATGATGGAGTAAAACGTGCCCTACTGCTAAACGCATGCGACGAAGACGCTTACAGATTAATTTTTAGCCTGTGCGTACCAGATAAACCAGGAACAAAAGTTTACAAGGACCTAGTGAAGCTATTTGATAAACATTTCAAGTCTACAACAAGTGCTTTTGCTGCCCGCCATAAGTTTTATGGAGCTACGAAGAGCCGTGCTGAGACGGTTGCAGAGTGGGCCGCAAGATTACGCAACTTAGCCTCGAAATGCGAATTTGGAGCCGAACTAGAAGTGGTCTTGAGGGACAAGTTCATGATGGGACTGGACAATACCAAGGTTTTGGAGAGAATTTTCGAAGAAAAAGTCACGATTTCCCTCGACAGAGCAGTGGAGTTAGCCAGCATCGAAAGGAACGTGGTGTGCCACGACGTCACAGTAAAGGATGAAATTTTCCATCACCGTGAACACGTGCATCAGCGAGGAGGAAGAGGTTTTCGCAACAGGGGTTCAGCGCCGCCGCAGAGGGGACCTCGTGAGTTTCCGGTTTCGCAAAATGGAAGCCGCCAGCCATCAGGGGATGACGTCATACGGCGCAGGTTTGAGCGGAACAACAGGGATGGCGCCGGCCCAAGCCAAGCTGTCAACGTCAACCAAGCCAGCTGTCAGGCATGCGGGAAAACAGGACACGTCAAAGATAAGTGTATTTATAGAAATTATGTTTGTAACTTTTGCAAGGTAAAAGGCCATTTAGCCAACATTTGCCATAAGAAAGGAATAAGGGGCAATTATTTTTTGGAAAATAAAGGGGTCGTTTCATGTTCTGATGAAGAATCGCAGAGCGATTTCGACCAAATTTTTAGTTTATTTTCTTCAAATGATGCAATCACCATTGAAATACTAGTAAACAAGCAATTGTTTACTTTTCAATTGGACACTGGGGCCTCAGTCTCAGTGATATCTGATTAATTTAGAGAAAAATATTTTAGTTGGTGTGGTATAAATAAAACTAGCAAAACTGTAGCGAGTTATGATGGTTCTTCTATTGTTTCCTTGGGTTTTATTGAGTTAGAAGTAACTTATAATTTAAAAACATTTCCTTTACGATGTTATGTTATTGCAAATGGGGGCCCTCCGTTATTAGGGAGAGATTTCTTTAATTTATTTAATTTAGGTGTAACTAGTATAAAAAATAATTTTGAACATAAGAAAGGAAACTTACTCAAACCTGAAGATGTAACTGATGTAGCTGAAATTAAACAAATGTTGTCAAGAAAGTTTTTAAAGTATTTTCTTCTCATTTAGGTAAATTTACTGGAGGTAAACTGCGACTAGACATGCAGGATGGAGCCAAGCCTAAATTTTGCAAAGCCCGTTCCGTGCCTTTTGCCCTATGCAGAGGAGTCGAAGCTGAACTAGATCGACTCATTTCGGAAAACATTTTGAGCCCAGTATCATACAGCAGTTGGTCGACACCCATCGTACCAGTTGTCAAGAAAAATGGATCCATTAGGATTTGTGGTGATTACAAAATTACTCTTAATCCTGTTTTATTAATTGATAAGTATCCTTTGCCTCGTATTGATGAATTATTTGCTAAATTACAAGGGGGAATTGAGTTTTCAAAAATTAATCTTTCTCAGGCATATCAGCAAATTGAATTAGATGACGAATCAAAAAAATTAACAACAATTAATACCCATAAAGGATTATTTATGTATAACCGGTTGCCTTTTGGTGTTGCCAGTGCACCGGCAATGTTTCAGAGAATAATGGAGCAATTATTGGCAGGTTTAGATGGGGTTGTTTGTTTTTTGGATGATATTTTAATTACTGGAAAAAACAGGGTTTCTCATTTAGAAAAAATTGAATTAGTTCTTGATAGGTTACAAAAAAGTGGTCTTACAGTAGCATTAGACAAATGCGAACTTTTTACAAAGTCAGTACATTATCTGGGTTACACTATTGATAAATATGGACTTAAAACAAGTAAAGATAAAGTTAAAGCAATTGTCTAAGCTCCAATACCTCAAAATATAACACAACTTAGATCATTTTTAGGCTTCATTAATTTTTACAATAAATTTATACCTAATGCTGCCTCAGTACTTCAACCTTTGTACAATTTGCTTAAGAAAAACATGCAATTTAATTGGTCCGAAGAATGTACTAGGGCATATAATAAAGTTAAAAATATAATTAGTGCAACACCTGTTTTGGAGCATTATAATCCAGAATTACCAGTGAAATTGATAGTTGATAACTCTTTTTATGGTGTTGGTGCCATGATTTCACATGTAATTAATAATGAGGAAAAACCTATTAGTTTTGCACCCTTAACTTTGTCAAGTTGTCAGCAAAAATATTCTCAAGTTGAAAAAGAGGCGTCTCTTCAAAAATCAGTATCTTTATGGTAGGAAATTCACTATTAAAACCGATGCCAAGTGTCTAGTGACTTTATTTGGCAATAAAAAAGGGATTCCTCCACTTGCCACTAACAGATTGCAACGTTGGGCTTTAATACTTTCAAATTTTGTTTTTCATATAGAGTATGTTGAATCAAGAAATAATACTACTGACTATTTTTCTCGTTTACCTTTAAAAGAGCAATTAAAAGAGTATGACATTGAAAGTTCATATTTGAATTTTATTGCTTCTAACACTGATTTGCCTGTTGCCTGGGAACAGATCAAAAATGAAACTCAGCACGACAAAGTACTAGTAGAAATTTGTAAATATGTAAATAAGGGTTGGCCGAAAAAGGTATCATTTTTGTTTAAACCTTTTGTTAATTATAAAAACAATTTTAGTGTAACCGATGGATGTTTGATGCTGGGCCACAAAGTGGTTATTCCTAGTACCTTACAAAAATATATCTTAAAACAATTACATTCTGCTCATTTTGGTATGGTCAAAACAACAAGCTTGGCTCGTTCCTACGTTTGGTGGCCGAAAATTTAGTTAAGTCTTGTGAATATTGTTTAAAAACTAGAAGTGAACCTCCTAAAATAGTATTAAAAAACCTGATTGGGGATTATCCTGAAAGACCATGGGAAAGAGTTCATATTGATTTTTTGGGTCCAATTTTTGATAAATATATTTAAGTTTTAGTGTATGCTCATACAAAATGGCTAGAAGCTATTATTACACCTAACATTAAATCAAGTACAAAAATTAATATTCTGTGGGATAATTTTTCTAGATTTGGTTTACCCTTTTCTTTAGTCTCTGACAATGCCACTACCTTTAAATCAAGTGAATTTCAAACATTCTTAAGGAAAAATAAAATAGAATTTAAAGAAATTCCACCTTTTCATCCAGCATCGAATGGTCAAGCCGAAAATGCTGTTAAAACAGTTAAACAAGCTCTATTAAAAGTGGTAAAGAGGACTTCATTGCCAGAATTAAATCGTAGTTTAAATAATTTTCTTTTAACATACAGAATTACACCCCACTGTTCTACAGGCAAATCCCCAGCTAATCTTATGTTTCAAAGAAATTTAAGAAGTACTTTGGATTTTTTAAATAATAATGTAAATATTGTAGAAAGTAGTAATTTAATAAATCTTAGTAATAATAAGAATAATTTTGAATCAGATCTTAGCAAAATATGTAAAAGTCAGGAAAATCAATGTAAATATTTTAAGGGTAGCAGAAATAAAATGTATACTGCAGGAGATTGTGTTGCTATTAGGGATTATAGAATTTCTAACAAACCTTCATGGATAAAAGGAATAGTTCATAAAAAATTGGTCCTAAGAGTTATTTTGTTTTTATACCTACTTTAAATGCCTTAAGTGTAATGCCTTTAAATACCTTTAAGACATGGAGAAGGCCTATTAATCAAATTATTGATTTTGAATTTTCAGTAGAAACACAATCAGCTGATCATGACTTGAACAAAGAATTAAAGTGCAACTTACCAATACAGTTACATACTTGATACAAGATGAAAATAATCAAGATATTAAAGGAGGATTTTATGAACTTCAGCTTCAAAAAGTGAAATATTCAGACATTTATTTTAAAATTATTTGAAAAAGTGTTAAAACGAAAGGGGACATTTTTTTTTTGTAAAATGGTTAGGTTTTGATAATAAGCATAATAGTAGGATATCTAAGGATAATATTGCATAAATAAAACATATTTTATGAATACATAGCACTACTATTTACTACCTATACACTCTTCCAGAATTCCTTCCTACAAAATTTTAACATATTAGGTTTATCTCTAATTTTTATAACTTTACACTAGAATATATAATTTATACTAGAATAAAAAATTGTTTAAGTGCAAACCTAAAATATGTACTAAGATGTATTTCAGGAAAAATAACTTAACTTCTATAGGTTTGGCTCAAAAAAGTGTGAGTGGATTAGGATGATTTATTTTAAATGGCACATTCTGTATATTATTGCATTTTTGGCTTCCTTTAGTAAATTAAATGAGTAAATATATTTAGATAATTTCAGAAATATTAATAAATTATATATGTAACAATAAACAGATGGTATTGTGAAAGGTCAATAAGATACCCGCCCTGAACTGCATTACTTTATTGTTATTGGTCCAAAAATATGAGATCCCTCCTTGTCAACAAGTGAAAAGACAGGTAACAAGGAAAAACATGTTATAGATATCGTTCAGTTGTATCCAGACCTTTGCAGTGTTTAGCAGGGAAAATAAAAAAAGTGCGAAAAATTATGGAGAAATTGTTGTATAAAGGATACGTGTACGCTCTGTGTGATATTGATAAAAATGATGAAAAGAAAACGTGGATGTGCTGTACATCTGGATGTTACGCGATACTTATCATGACCAAAAATCCAGCAGTAAAAGATATAATTAATAGTCACAATCACAGATCGATGTCCACAGCTGCCGGAAGTATAAAAAAGAAACTCAGTGATTATTTAAACATAGAACAGAAAAAATGCAATTTCGAGAAAGACCTTAGAAAAGCGGTGATCCGACAGAATTTTATACTAAATGTATGGAAGTTCAGGAAAGACAAAGAGCTTATATCCGAAGTCCAAGACCTCATTGAATAAAAAGAAGAATCCAACTTGGGGTAATAATATTTTTTTATGTACTACATAGTTGTAACTTTTGTTTTTTTAACTAAATATATTTTCTTTTATTTGACTTAATTTTTATTATTTAAAAAATATTTTTATTGTTTATATACCGTGTTCGTCGTCGGAAACATAGAAAATTGCATGCAAATTTTGAACTGCCCAAATATTGATAAACTTTGATTTTTATAGTTACATCCCTAAATTTATTTATAAAATAAATTATGTTGTTTTGTTTTCTGTTTTGCGCTGCAGATTTTTTATAAAAAATTCGGTTGGGTCCAATTTTACTTAAGAGAACTTAAATTTTATTTACAACATGTCCCTCATAAATATTATAGAAATTATATTTAATAATGAACAGAGTGAAAGGTCGGTAAGATAACCCGCCTTAAACTCCATATAACTTTATTGTCATTGGTCTAAAAATGTGCGGTCCCTTCCTTTCAGCAACTAAAAAACAGGTAACAAGGAAAAAAATTAATGTATGTAGAGTAAAATATTTAAGGGTAATAAAAAGATACACGTTTAAAATATATTGTAATTATTACAGAATTGAAACTAGATATAAACGTGTAATTATGTAACAAAAATTAGCTAGATCAAACCAAATGCTGAAAATTCTTCCATTCCTGTTTGCTGCATAAAATTATACTCCATATATATCTATAAAAACTCTAACTATAAAATATATTTTCATGTTAAGAGGCATATGTGAAGTTCTGCTTCGAAAAGCAGCCACAGTACTTTCTCTCATGTTATCAACAATGTTTTTTTTTGAAAACACTGTCTTTAACATATTCCGATAAAAAAACTCCAGACTAGATAAATCAAGAGCATTTAAGTATCATAACAATTTTCTCTGATGTAGGATAAGTTTCCATTTTGGGCAAATTTCCGAGAATTATTTTTGTTTAAACTGGCAGAAATTGATAACTAACTGTTAAAGTTGAACTAATTTGACATCTACGTTAAAGTAACGTCAGACATATTACAGCCACCTAGATTTTACCAACTAATAAAGATCTGCTGTCACTAAATCATAAGAACGAAAATATCTAGGAAAATCTTTGTTTAAGGGTTAGGCAACCTTATTAATATTTTGAAGAGACTTGAAATTCCCCATTGAATATCAGAATAATATACTGGGTGTTACATTTAAAATAAAAGAGTAACTTGCTTTTAAATGTGACCACTGTTCAATGTGAATTTTCTCTCACCCTGTATAACTTTTTGGGTCAAAATTTAATTTTATTTAGAGTACAATGGATATTTTTACTATATATGTAAGCTATACCGAGTAAATTCCAATTTAGGAAGCTTTTATAGAAATTTATAATTTGTTGTTCATTTTTAGGAAATGTTAAATATATATGTCAAAAAACTTTACATTTATATAATGGAAAATAAATTTCTTGCAGTTTTTAGGTATATAATAAAATTATATAAGAGTTTCTTGCCTTGAACTGCTAATATAGAAATTAATTCCACGCTGTCTTCGACATAATGTGGATCAACCTGCTCTCACTACCGGTTTTGGGGCCCTACCCCATCATCAGGTGAGCTTGGGTCGTTTCCACAATATGTCCACATTATGTCTAACACAGAATGGAATTAATTTCTATATTAGCAGTTCAAGGCAAGAAACTCTTATATAATTTTATTATATACCTAAAAACTGCAAGAAATTTATTTTCCATTATATATTTGTCTAGCCGAAAAAAACCTTTATTTACTCTCGATAGCAAAATAAAAACACTAAATCACCACAATACACCAAAACACTTTTACCCTGGACGTGCGTTTGGCTAACCATGTTAGCATCATCAGCAGATGATTATAAACTCTAGTGTTTTTATTTTGCTGTGTAACACCAAAGGTTCCAACCCTCAACTGTAATACTATCGATAGTTGTGCCTCGGTGGTACGAAAGTACTACCATTGCACGCAGGCCGCTATCTCGCAATGCTGGACTTAATATCTTACCGCTACTTTACGACAAATCGTGTTTATATACTCTGCGCTGTGCTCGGCATATTGTGGAAACGACCCAAGCTCACCTGATGATGGGGTAGGGCCCCTAAAACGGTAGTGAGAGCAGGTTGATCCACATTATGTCGAACACAGCGTAGAATTAATTTCTATATTAGCAGTTCAAGGCAAGAAACTCTTATATAAACTTTACATTTTAGACATATACTTCTCTAATGAATAATTTAAAAAAAATGACCAAAACTAACCTATATATGCTCAGAAAATGTCATTTCAATACAAACTGCTATTCTCCTTGGAGTCTCCGCGCCGTATTAGACGCGACACCCTGTACATATTCACAAATATAGTTACAACAATTGTAACTATGTTTTTAGAGAGCTACTCTCTAAAAATAGCAAAAACATTTCAAATATTTCCGAACTATTTTAAATTAATTTAGTTATTTAACATTTATTAAATATGTTAATATTATTTAAATATGACCCGAAATACGATAATGAATATAAAAATAAAAATATATAAAAATAGAATAATTTCCGCATAATGTAGAGGCTGTTTAAGATATATTTTTCCATTTTATATTTTGGTTTGGGCTAGCCGAAAAAAGCCTTTATTTACTATCGATAGTTGAGCCTCGGTGGTACGAAAGTACTACCGTTGTTTGTACTACTTCATTAAGGCACGTTTTAATATTTGTTAAAAAACATTTAACTTATATATAATTGTAGATTAAGAAAGGAAATTGAAAGCTAAAATTATAAACTGAAGGAACTAAATTATAACATAAATTTCAAATTAGATATATTCAAAAATAAAATAACGGAAAAGAAATTTGTAAGCAGATCCAAAGTGAACATTTGTTAAATAAAAAATAAATTTTGTCTAACT